TAAGATCCCTTCCCTCCCAAACCATTCTGGGATTCCATGGACTCAAACCAAGTTTTCTCAGGAAGGACTAAAGAGACAGCAGGACCATGCCCAGCAAATCTTGTTCTATCAGAAAACAAAGCTTTGTCTGTGGATAATTAAGTGTTGAGTGATCAGCCCAGTGCAAAATTCTTCCAGGAAGAGCAGAGAGGAAAAGACATTTGTTTGTTGAAAGCCTAAATCCAGTTGCCACATAAGGTTTAGGTGATTTTTCCCCCTGATGGACTTATGGGGAATAATTCCTCTTGGCTTAGTGGAAACAGGAAAATAATTGTGGGATTGTCTCAGGTATTAAATATTCCAGCACACTTAACAAGTAAAAATAAGAATAAGAAGAATAAACCTCAATAATTTCTTTATTTGAGTGGGGTTTCACTGAGTCCTTTAGGGGTGTTTAGTGGGAGAATAACACCCTGAAAACAGGCAGGTTTTTGTATTTCTTTAAGGGCATTCTGGATATTTCCTTCCAGCACACATAAATTATGAGTTACCTGAGCTTTATTGCCTTTTTTGGCGTGATTTGTCCTTCTTCCAGGTTTGCAGTTCTCAACATTCCAGGAGCAATTTTCCTGGGTTTTCCCACGATGCTGGATCCCCCCTCCCAGCAGCTGGAGTTTTGCTTATAATCACATTTATTGCAATCTCTGGGGCCTATTTCCTTCCACTCCCTGCAGTCTGATAATGGTCCATGACACTATTCCAGATTAATTCCCAACCAGCCACTGTTCCATGGATCAGAGCTTTCAACGTGATGGCTCCTCAGGAAGCTCCCCAGCCCTAAAAAACCTTGGATTGTGGGATTATTTACATCAGGTCAGCATTTCAGGAAGGCTCAGTCAGCACAGAGGGGGGAAAAAAACCAGCACAAAGAGGTAAATTGAAAAGAAAAATGAGGAATGTTGCAAGGAAAAGGGGATGGTGGAGCCATGACAGAACAAAGCAGAGACAAGAATGTTGGTGCTGATCACCCCCCCCCCACCCCCAGCTGTGGGGTTTGTTTAACCTGGATAATAAAAGGCTCAGGGGGGACCTTCTCACTCTCTACAAGTCCCTGACATGGAGGTGGAACCAGGTGGGTCTCATCTCCCAAGTAACAAGTGACAGGACGGAAGGAAATCGCCTCGTGCTGCACCGAGGGAGGTTCATGTTGGATTTTAGGGAAAATATCCTCACTGAAAGGGTGGTCTGGCACTGGAAGAGCCTGCCCAGGGAGGTGGTGGGGTCACCATCCCTGAAATTGTTCCAAAAGAGTGTGGATGTGGCCACTGAGGATGTGCTTCAGCGAGGAACGAGGTGGTGCTGCTGAGTTGAAGGTTGGACTTGACCATCTCAAAGGTCTTTTCCAACCGTGCCAATGACACAATCCTGGGATTGCATCGTTCCAGCCAACCTCTGGCAGAGTAAGAACCTTTCTTCCAGCTTCATCCCTCTTGGAGGAAGATTTTAACTTCTTAGGAATCCCCTCATCATGATCCATCTTCCTCCCTGGTGCATCTTTACCCCTTTCAGTCTCCACAGAGGGACCTCGGAACCTCTTTCAATAGAAATGTGAATGCAAACCACAATAAAACACCTATTTTCCCACTGTTTTCAAGCAAGGCAAAGCCTAAACTTGGCTGCAGGCTTTCAAAACCTGATTTCAGTCCTGATCATAAAAGAAAACGGGGTATATAAACACAGAATATTTTATTTATTCGCACTGACCTTGAGTAAATTCACCTCCCCCACTTTTGTTTTCCTTGCACAAACACATTCAGTCACCAGGACGTAGAAAATTGCCCCTGGATTTTATTGGTCACAGGTGAGGGGTTCTTTCAATTAGATATAATTAAGAAATTCAGTCCAGCATCATAACCTGCTCCTGAGGAAATGACACAGCTTTACTTGACTGTGCTTATTGAAAATAACTTTTTTTTTTTTTTTTCATTACAGCCAGTATATAAATTAACCCTCTTCTGGATTAAAATCAATTGCTGAAGGTCAGTAATGAATCTCTTTCTTTTGCAAGATAAACTTCACTTACCTGGACTGCATTAAAGAGCTTCCAAATTTCCAAGAACAAAACATTTTCTTCAGCATTTTACACAAAGAAGAGCAGAAATCAAAGGACTCTGATTTGACTCTAAAATAGATGACTATAAATTGCTTTTCTAAATCCTTGATTTTTTTTTTTCCAAGCAGATACAGTGTTTTACGCTGAAACATGAAATAATTAGAATAATTACAGTGTTCTCCCCAAGAAAAACTGAAAAGCTTTTGCCCTGCCGTAGCTGTTGCCTAATTCTAGAGTTTTTAATGTCCTCTAGAGTGGACATCAGTCTCCAGTTTGCAAGGTGTGCTGTGGAATGTCAAAAATACAGCCCAGCAGCAAACCACAAGTCCACAAAGTCCACAACCCAGGGGGTGTGGACTCAGCAATACCCTTTGTTTGGGAATAGGGAATGGGAAGACGAAAATATGCATTGTGGTGCTGCCAAAAAGCTGATATTAAAGTGGACGTTGCCAGTGCAAACAGAGCAGAATTTACCACAACCAGCAGCTCCCAATCACACCCCCAGCCAGGCCTCATCAGCCTCTGAACGTTTTTTTGGTTTTTTTTTTTTTGTCCTGCAGGTTTTAATTTAAAAAGTTAAATTTTAAAATTTAAATTTTAAAATTTAAATTATAAATTTTAAATTAATTTTAAATGTTTTCATTAAGGTTTTAATGATTGGCAAAATGGGAATATTGATAGGAAAGGAGTCTTTTATTGTTACAAACCCTCAGACAAAAGATCTCAATCAGTAATTTACTGCACAGTAAAAAAGCTACAAGTGCCAGTAGTGCAGTTCAGGATAGTGCATCGTACTGAAGTAATTATTGGGACAGTTATATTAAAACTGGCAAAAAGGAAATAGTGATTGAGTGGAGATTTGATGTCACTGCAGCCCATCCTCCAGCTCTCTGCCAGCAGTTACACCACCAAAAACCTGTGCAGATGAACACACACACTCAAATATTTCAGGCAGAGAGAGGAAGGAAGTCAAATAATGAACCGTGAGTGTGAGCCAGAATTTACTCCACGAGTAATCACCTTGTACAAACACACTGCTGGGCCAGGGGAACAGGCAGTTGTGGGCTCTTCTCTCCTGCTCTCATAAATATTTGCCTCTCCTCAACTTCCATTAGAGGGAAAAAAGAATCACCAGTGCTGGTGTTTCCTTTCTTTAGGGGTTTTCTCCCCTCTTTTTTTTCCCCTCTCATGGCACATTTTTAGCTCCCAGTTCTGTTGTGAAAACCCAAATAGACCCCAGCAAAACCGTTCTGCCTTGAAATGGCTTTTGTGTTCATGTTCCAAGCAATTACCCCTCAGAAACAAACATTCTTTGTGACTTTAAGCGTGGAGAGATAAATAAGATTATTCTCTATTAAAAAGCAGGATTTTTTTAGCTTTTTTTTTTTTTTTTTGGTGCCATAAAGGGAAGAGGATGAAAACTCATCAGAAGAAATATTCCTCCAGCAAATATTTGTGCTGTCTGCAGCCTGTCACTCCCATAAATCACTCCGAGCTCTGGGCAATTCACACGACTGTACTCGAAATGAGCATTTAATTAGTGCTCTAATACAAACACCAACCCCCTCCCGTGTTAATAACCAACATTTGGAGCTGTAAAGGGTAAATACCACGGAATTGTGAGGCCCCACCTGACCTCAGGCACGGAAAATGAGGGAGATGAATTGGCTGGCTCCGTCACACAGCGAACAATTGACGGCATCGCACGGTGCTGGCAGCAGAGACCAGAGGTCAGGGAAAGGCCACAAACTGGTCCATGGGGAGTTGAGCCTCGGGCACAGCAGTGATAAAGCTCCACAGCTATTTTTAGGTAGTTAAAAGCTGCAAAGAAAGGGTTTCACACAGCCACATAGTGAATTTTTGGGGGAAAGTGCTGGTGGCTCGGCCCTGTGACACCAGCCTTGGCTCGGGGCTCTCCATCAGCAATCTGGAGGTTTGTCCTCCCACAGGGATTTAGGGAACAGGGATTTAGGGGACAGGCACTCCTGTGGAAGCAGGAACTTGTCAAGATCCCAGGGACACTCTGAGTGAGGCCAAGAAATGTGTGTGTGTCTTCAGATGAATTTTTAGCACACACTAAAAATAAATTGCTGGAGGTAAGTCTCCCCATTCTAGGGGAGAAACATCACCAGAATTCCATAACTAGAAGGTTCCTATACCACTAGTGGTAATGAATCTATAAAATTATTTATACATGTACACTGATTTTATACAAAGAGCTCAAATCAGCTTAAGCATAATGGTTGGAGATGACTCTTGGGATGAGCCCTCAGTATTGCTGCCAACCCATTTTAAGGCCACAGAATTATAAAAAGCTGATTTCTGCTTCTGAGACATCTGTTCTGGGACGCATCAGCACCCACCTGTAGGAGCATCTGCCCTTCCCTGTGCCCTTGTTGGCTGCTTGAACCACTCAAATAAATGAGTAATGTGGGATCCCAGCAGGAAATACAGAAGATTTATCCCCAGGAAAGCCATGTGAACTCAGGCTGGGCACTTAATTCTGATCATCCTCAGCAGGTCTAAAACCAGGAATAGAATTAGTGGGAAAAAGAGAGAGATTTAATCCCCTTCCTCAGCACTGCTGACTGAAAGAGGGAACCTGACTGTCTGTGCAGACCTGAGCTGATCCTTCCCAGAACAGAGCCCAGATGTGCTGTGGGACATGAAAACTCCATCTCCAACGGGTAAGGGAAAATTGTCACCTCAGAACAGAGACTAAAATCCCTCTGAGTAATTTAAGAGCTGTAGTGAGGCAGCTGACAGGACAAAGGAGACACAGTGCAAACTCTTGCCCCTCTCCAGGCATCAGCACTTCACACAGGGCTGTAAGCAGGTGGTTTTGACACCAGAGCTGGGAATCCTTCTCTTTTTTTCAGAAGAAGCTGCCAAAATAAGGCACTGGGATCTCAGGACCTTCTCATTTCCATGGCCTTAAATACAGCTCTCCTAAAAAAGTGCTCTGGACAACAGGCTGTGCTTGGTGTCTGGATTAGGGCATCACAGTCTTCTGTCTTCATCAAAGGCTTCAAATTAATCTGGAGAAGAAAACAAGGCAATGAGAAAGTCAGGATCAACTGAACCCTCAGCTCAGGACCTGACCCAAGGTCCTGAGTTGAAATTCAGAGCCCAGAGTGGACCCCACTGAGGGTAAATGAGGATTGTAGAGACACACACACCGTTCTCCAGGATGCTTTGTTCCTTCACTGAGCTGGATTTGTCTGATCAGGTGTTGGCATCTTCTCTGTAAATCCAGATACCTGAAAAAGGGAACTTAAAGCAATAATTTTTAGTGTCAAAATTGGGCACAGAGACACAGAGGAATAAGGCAGGATGTCCAAAAGGGAACATCTAAAATATGACAGAATAATCATCTTTTAAACTGCCTGCTCCTGTCCCAGGGTCCAGGGTGACAGCTCAGCTCACAATGTCTCTAAAATCAATGGAGGTACCAGTAGTACATCTAATATTTTGCCTGTCAGGAAAAATCATTGAATTCACTTGTATTTTTAAATTAATCTTAAATTCTCTGTTTCCATTTCCTACCTGAAAGTGGCTCAGTGATCCATGGCTGTGGAAAATAATCCCATTCATGTTTATGCAGTTATAAATTCCTGCAGTGACGAGAACCTGGAAAATTGAATATATTTCTGCCTTCAGGCTCTGGAGAGTTTGAGGAGTGTTTAGTAAATCAAGCAGAGAGCTGTTGCAAAAGAGTTAAAACCTGATGTTGCTTTGATGCCCGTTTGAAAGAGTATCAATATGCTGAATAAAAAAAAAATACTAATACAGGCACAAAAAATAGAGTGGAATTTTAGTCAATCAAATAGAAGGGGAAACGAAGGTTGAACAGGCAAATTGTTCCAGTGATTTCAGACTTTGGAATACTTTAAACTGCACCTTCAATGGGACTTTTTTTTCTTCAGCTGCCACCTGCACAGGAATATGTTCAGCACTCCCTATTCCAAAAGCATCACGCTGTTACCAGGTGAAAACCAGATTTTGTCGCTGCACTGAAGATTTTGGAAACCCTTTTCTGATTTCAAGCCAGAACACAAATGTTTGCCGTCTGCAGCAGATCAGAAATCATGAAAAACAGCTCCATTTCATCAATCAAGTGTGCAGCTTTCACTCCATCCTCTCAAAAAAATAATAACTGAAATTAGCTCTGCAGAAATTTTTTTTGGGGAAAAAGAGTACTTGATTTAAGTGAAATTTTAATTGGCATTAAAAAAACTAAAACTGGCCATTAGAATTTTTTTTTTTTTGTTCCTCAAGAATAAATGCTGGAAAAAACAAACACCTTTTCGGTGTCACTGGTGTTTATCTTCCGCTTAGTAGTGAATTAATGAGTTCAGGCTTTTCTATCTTCCTTTGAAGGCAGTGAAATAATATTTTTTTTCTTTAAGTTGGATCAAAATTCATCCCAACACGCTTGAGATCTCTATAACCAGACAGGTTTTGTGTCTTACTCTGAAAACCTTTTTGTTGGCTGAGCACATGAGAGTGCACAAATGCTCCCCAGAATACACAGGAGGTAGGTGGCAGGGAATGTGCAGCTGAAAGGGGAGGAAAAGCTCCTGGGTGGGGATTTTGAGCCCAACCTGCCCCGTGGAATCTTGGCTGGAGAGCTGGGAGGTTTATCAGGGTCTGTGCTCTTGGTGCAACAGGGAGAAAACAGATTTATTGCGTGAAATGTTTACTCTGAAAGGTGTTACTTTAAAGGTCAAAGCAGGACCCTGGTGGGTGCTGATGGCTGGGAGCTCACTGGGACAGGTAGCAGAGATGTCCTTCAGTGGCTTTTCATGGGATGCAACTGGCTCAGTCCACCTGAAATTCCTCCCTGGGAGGGTGGGCAGACCCTGGCACAGGTTGCCCAGAGAAGCTGTGGCTGCCCCTGGATCCCTGGAAGTGTCCAAGGACGGGTTGGATGGGACTTGAAGCAACCTGGGCTGGTGGGAGGTGTCCCTGCCCATGGTAGGGGGTTGGAAACAGTTGATCTTTAAGGTCCCTTCCAACCCAACCCATTCCAAGATTCCATGATCCTGTGCTCTGACTGACTGGGGACAGCAGGGAATCTGGAAGTGAATCCAATGCATTTTGGGATGCTTGTGGATGTGCAGGTTCAGGACACCTCCTGCCAGATTAGTTTAAGTCCTGTCCTGGGTGATATTCCCCCTCGGGAATGTGGGAAATGTGTCCCTCATCACAGACCCAGGCTGCTCACACCAGCTGATCATCCAGATTATCCTTCCAGTTTCCCCACCTGACAACTGTCAGTGGGATCTGGGGAGAAAGTCGATTCTATGGGATATGTGAGGGGCTTCTGATAACTGCTTTGCCTGGGAGAAATTGTCCCTGTTGCTAATTAGCCAGCTGGCACTGAAGGGATGTTTTGCCTCATTAAAAGCAGGTTTTGAGGAGTGGTTTTATTTCCCTCCATCTCCACACGCTGTGTTCTGTCACTTCAACAGGCTCTCCTCCCAGCAGACTGGACTTAGTCAAGATGCTTGGTAATTAAAAATAAATAAATAAATAAAAGGACAAAAGAGAGGGAGAGAAAGCAGACTGTCTAATTAAAAACAATCCCAGAGGAGTAGCCATGCCTCCACTTAATATCTGTTCTGAAATAGGAAGGTTCTTTAAATTTTTAATTACCCTTTGTTGTTCATTATTATGAAGAGGGGCACAGGGTGTTCATGGCCTTTGTGGACAGGGCTGTCCAGTTGGGTTGATCAGTCACTCCCATTAGCAAGAAGCTCCCAAGGAAGTGTATTTTCCTCATGTTCTGCAGCGTGGGTTTGTTTTCAGGCTCATAAAAGCACCTCTGACAATTCCTGGTGAACTTCAGCCACGAATGAGATTCCCTGCAAAACTCCTTTCCCCCAGCAAACCTGCACTGTCTGAACCAACATTAAATTTTCTGATTGCTGTGTCAGCCCCTGAAATCAGATCTCTATGTGAGGAATCCTAGAATGGCCTGGGCTGGAAGGGGCCTGAAACATCATCCAATTCCAACCCTTCTGCTGTGGGCAGAGACACCTTCCACCAGACCAGATCGCTCAGAGAGCCATTTAATCGCAAAACCCAAGAATTATTCACACACAACAAAGTTCAAGCCAGCTTTGTTTTAACCTCTGTGCTACCCATGCCTGCCAAAGTCTGTTTTTTGTGTGCACTAAGTGGAGAGAAGCAGAGGTTGTACCCAGATAATCTGCTCAAATGACGTGCCTGTTCATCTCCTTTAATTAATTAAAGCATTCTGAATACTGTGGTTAGATTGACCTCACATGTCATTCAGCATCTCTAAGAGGCATTTACCCACGGATCAGTCAGCCCAGAATCCCTGGATCCTTCAGTGGAAAGGATGCAGCTCTGTGGGCCTATTTTGGATGGGATAAATTATCCTCTAGTCCCCATTCCCAGGTCTAGGGAGCCCAAAGAGAACCCCAGAGAAACATCTGAGACACAGAACCTCTGCCACAAACATTCCTGCTTTTCCAGTTGAATTATAGCCCAGATATTTCAATCATTCATCCCTCTCTTGAGGTCACATATCCTGCAGTACCTCATTTTATCTGGCACAGCAGCCTCACCTCCATTTCTCCACCCAGTGAATGTCACCTCCTGGCAGCAGCTGGGTTATGCAAACACCAGCCCCAACAGGTTCAGCTTGATCTGCAGCCTCAAAATAGAAACCTGCCCGAGGAAAACCGCTGTGTGTGACATTGCACCGAAGGTTCTTTCCCCTCCTGGGGCATTAAAGCCTCCCCTGGAGCAAGAGCAGTTTAAATTGCCCAGGGAAGAGGGCAGTGGGAACCCAGGCCCAGCAAAATGCGGGGAGATTTTATTTTCTTTGCAATCCTCAGGGTTGTGCTGAATGCAAACCAAGCCTCCTGTTCTGGTCGTTGCAGATAAAGCAGTGAACTCTAATTAATTGGGTGTTATTCCCCTCTCATTTCACCGCTTTGTGAAGGGAGCCACTGTTATCAAACCCTCTTTTGATGCTTTAGTGTTGGTGTTGTTTGCAGATAGTTCAGTGGAGAAGCTTTTGATGGGGGCAGAGTCAGGAACGAGGGATGAGCATTCCCAAACTTTCCCTCGTTGCTGATGAACCAGCAGAACTGGCACCTGCCTGGGGAGCAGTGGAGTGATTTAATTTTTTTCCCAGTTTTATACATTAACATTTACACCCCTGGGGCAAACATGCTCTTGAGAAGTTACAAATCCGAAGCAGAGGATTGTTAGGACGAGGCAAAACAGAGGGGGTTTTGCCCCAAAGCAAGGGAAGGACGATGCACCTGCAGATGGAGCAGGTCAGTTCACATGTAAAATTGTGAAATATGAGCTTTTGCCATGACAGACCTCAGCAATTTTCAAAAACTTCATCCTCTATTCCTTCCTCTTTTCTTCTCCAAGGAAAGGAACAGTCACATCCAGAGCTGTGACACTGCTTTTTTTCTTATTTTCCAGTGATTTCAGGCTTCAAATCCTTCAAATTTCAAAGGATTTAGAAATAACCCAAGACACGAAGAATACAAATTTTTCCCCCCCAAAAAACCCCCACCCTCGCTCCCCTCTCTTCTCAAAATTTTCCCACACCTCATTCTTTTCTGAACACCTCAATCTGTCTTTTTGTGTCACTCAAAGGGGGGAGCAGAAAAACTGCTTTAAATATAACTGTGATATAAATAACTCGTTCAAATGTAACTGTTTCATACAAATAAAACCACTGTGGTTGTCTTTCACTGGAGCATGTTGTGGGAGCAGAGCAGTGCCATTGTTTCCTTGCAAGAAACTGTGACAGTGCAAAAAAAAAAAAAAAAAAAAAAAAAGGGATATTTGTGCAACAATCTCCCCTGTGTCACCTAAAGGGCACATTTTCGAATGCAATGCACATGTGGAAAAACTGTGTCCCAGATTTTCTTGCTGTTCCCTTCTTCTTGATCTTGTCTGAGCTGCCTTTCAGACCAAAAGACGTGCCCAAGTCGTCAACGAAGAGAGGAAAAACTTGGGAAAGATTTTAAAACAGCAGATGTGAAGCAGCAGAAGGGAACATCGTGTCAGAGATGTGTGGCAAATGCCATTTTTCCTCTCCATTTCGTCCTGTCATTTCTCCAGATTTTCTCTTTTCCAGCAGGGGTTTGAAGCACAAAATTTCACTTAACTGGTGGATATGTTGGTTTTTTCTTTTCGTCTCTCTCTGAAAATGTCTCCCAGAAGATCCAAAAAAACAGAGGACAGGGCCAGACTTCCCAAGATTTGATATCACTTCACTCCAGAATTTCTACCATAATCAGTTTTAATCCCTGGCAGTTCATCAGGATGAAATCTCAATCACTGTGACCCCTCCAGGGCCAGGAAGGGGATATCAGGTGCAGCAAAGCAGATTTTGTGGCTGAATAAAGGGCTTTGTGTCTCTAGATCCCAGCTCTTATTGTATATTTTCTATCAAAATGGAGAGATGACTCAAATTGCCGTTACAGGCTTGGAAATCTCATGATCCAACCTGCTCTCCAAAATGAAATTATGACTGGACAAGCTATTCTCTGTCCAGCTTCTTTAAATTTTTGATTGCTGGGACAGGCTTAAAAAAAAAATAAAAAAAAATAAAAACTTTTTAATTCTGGGCAAAATAAAATAAAATGAAATAAAATAAGGCACATCTTGTGCCTCGCTCTCCATCAGAACCACAAAAGGTTGGAAAAGACCTTTCAGATCACCAAGCCCAACCATCAACCAGCACCACCAGCACGTTCACCACTAAACCACGTCCTCAGCAGCCAAATCCACATGTTTTTTGGACACTCCCAGGGATGGAGACTCCACCACTTCCCTGAGCAGACTCTTCCAATTCTTTACAACCCTTCCCACGAATAAATTTTTCCTGCTACCTAATCTAGACCTCTGTACTGATGTTATGTGCGACGTGTCAACCACATCTACCGATCTGGCTGGAAATAACTTTTCTCCCGTTCCTTGGTCCATTCCCTGGTTCAAGTCAGATTAATTTACCAAGTTGGTGTTTTTTTTTTAACTTGCATTTGTGAACAGGGTCAGAGCTGGGGACTGTTTCTGGTGGAACAAGTTCAGATGAAAACAGCCTCAGTTTTGTGCCTGCTCAGTGAGATCACTCCTGCTTATGGGGATGTGTGACAGATTTTCATGCAACAGGCTCGAGTGGACAAGAAAACCAACCTTTGAAACACTGACCCTGCGTGTGAAGAGCTGTCTCCAAATTGTTAATTTGGCAGTTCGGTTCTGGTAGAGACCGAAGAAACAACAAGCAAATGTCAGAGAGCTCTTTATCCATTTTTGACCTTCGGAGTTGAGAAACTTTCATGGATTTACAGAGAAAACAGTGAGGATCCTGCCAAACAAAAAAGGCCTGTAATTCTTTAATTTATTGGTGTCTCTTATCCTGCTTGTTCTGATTTCTCCTTATATCCATTTGTGTTGTAATTTTAGTTCTTTAGGGGAAAATCTCTTCACAGACCATCCATAAATCCCTGTTGATGAGGTGCATCAGTGTTATTTCATTGTCTTACACTGACTGATAAAGATTTTTTTAGCCCTAATTGATTATTTTTTCATCTCAGTGTATCCAGTTTAATACTTTCCAAAGTAAACATTGCCTGCTGTGACTCTGAGAACACAGGAGTTTTTAGATCTCCTTGAATAAAGGAGATAAAAAGAAAAATCATCACTATAGGAACAAGTGTCCATCCCTTGAGATCTTTTGGCTGCTTTGAATCTTCGTTTTGGCTGGATCCAGAATTACTGGGTGAATGTCAGACCAATTTCTGTGTGAAAAATACCAGGGAACTCTGGACTAAAAATGTTTTATTTATCTGTTTTGCCTCTGTCCACCAGATTTAGGGTCTGAGTGCCAGTTCCTCACCTTCTGATCTGGGGGTATGAAGGCCCACCCGCAGCTTCAAATTATTGTGGGGATTCAGAAAATGGTAGATGTTGAATCTAAATTAAAACAAACTGATTTTTGACGAAGTGATTAGCACTCCCCTGCACACACATGCTAATTACTGCCTTCTAATGTAAGACTAATAAGGAAGCTCTTAAAAATACCAGCCTGACATCTGAATTGTCTCGATTTGCAACAAAAGAAAGGTGCTTTGTTGTTTTCTGCCTTCCTGTGAGTTTTTTTTTCGGTTCCCCTTCCCCAACTGCTTTAGGATGAATCAGTAAATGAGAATTAAAATGTGCTAATGAGTTCTCCTGGACTGGAAAATGTAATCCCAGATAACAAGTGACAGGACAAGAGGGAATGGCCTTGAGTTGTGCCAGGAGAGGTTTGTGTTGGATATTAGGAAAAATTTCTTCACTTTAGGGGTGGTCAGGCCTTACAAGAGGCTGCACAGGGAAGGGGTGGAATCCCCATCCCCATAAAAAAAGTCACTGTATCACTACATATCATTTCATTGAAGACTCAGGCAAGGGGAATATCGACCCACTCTCCAAAAAAGCAGCTTCTGGCAAGGCCAGAGGGTTTTCCACAGGCTGAGCACCCGGAGTGGGCACGGAGTTGTTGGGAAATCAGGATGTCTCTCTTTCCAGCGAGGGATTTAAAGCTGCAAAGAGAATATTCCAGCTCCCTGCAGACCCCTTTGGGAGGCTGCTGAGAACGAGACATCTGCCCACAGTTTGCCCCGTTTTGCACCTCGTGGCATAAACACCCAAGTGCCTGTGTGTGACTCCCACGGTGCCGAGGGAATAATCACGTGGGTGGGTTCCTTGCTTGGCGAAAGCTCAGGAAGGGAAAGTGCTGAGCTTTCAGTGCATGTCAGGTCCAACCCAGGACAGCACTAATTGTGTCCCACCTGCAGGAATTTAAGGCCTGATAGCACTGACAGGGCAGAGCTGGGTTCAACCTGGGATCTTCTCTGTACCTTCAAG